GTAGGTGTAGGCTGCCCGCTGTGAGGTCAGTCTCCCCACCCTGCTGCCCTCCCCTGGGGCCTCCGCAGTCCAGCGGGTGCGACCCGGCACTGCAGGGCAGAATGGGGCTGCACAGGAAAGCTGCTTGCTACTAAGAGCTCCGCACTGCCCTGGCAATGCATCCCCTGCATGCGCGGCAGCAGCAGAGGCAACAGTGTGGGGTTATGCCTCTTGCTGCCACCGCACAGGTAGGGGATGCATCACCAGGGCAGTGTGAAGCTGTCAGCAGCAAGCAGCTTTTCTCCGTGGCCCTGCTCTACCCTGCAGTGCCAGGTCACACCTGCTGGACTGTAAAGGTCCTGGGGGAGGGCAGCAGGGCGGGAGCCCACAGCCTGTGCCCACCCCCACCCCGTGCACAGATCTGGGGGGGCACAGGTCTCCCCTACCCCTCTGGGAGTGGGCACAGCCACAGAGATCTGAGCCCACAGCAGGCAGGCAGCAGGGTGGAAGGCGGGCTCTGCTCTGCTACAACATCCACTGCCTCTGCTCCATTGCAACAGCCACCAGCAGCGCTGGGGAGCAGAGTCCTGCTAAATTTGACTCTGTTGTATCACTGGCAATCTAGAGCAATGACACTGGATTCTGCAAAACAGAATAAAAAGAAAATAAAAGACTGAGGGGCCTAAATATAAATTACTAACTCTCTCAACATACACAGAAACCCCTGGAGACACTAGCCACAGTTCTGCAAGCCTATGGAAAACAGAATATAGAGATTTACCATATACAATTTCTAAAAATGTAACTTTTAGTTTCCATGCTAATTTAATACCATATATATACAGTGATTTTCCTAACTGCATTATGTCCAAACAGTTATATTTTTCCCTCTTTTTCCATCTCATGGCACTCTGCCTTTCTCTATACTGCCAAAAAAAAATATCCTCGCTACTCATGAATGTAAGATTCCCCTCTCCCGCTATGTGTAAGAAACTTAAAAATAACCCTTATACTCTGCCAATTCATTCACGATATAATGACCATATATTGGCACAGCTTAGTTTTTGTTCTGTGTTGTATTTAGTTTGGTGTACTGCTCATGCCTTTCTATTGGTAAAGTCCTGGAATATGCATAGCATAGGTCAGCCAGGGTACACCTAAGTTGCTTCTGTGGTGATTGTGAGAAACACACCGTACCTACCCAATTCCATTCCAGATGCCCCCACCCAGAAATGTGGCAGTGAAGCCATCAAGGAGCACCCCCACTGCTACTGTCAAGCTCCCATATCTGGCATGCTGGACAGCAGCAGCAAGCGGGCAGGCAGGGGATGCATTCAGGCTAGATCCAACATCTTGTTTCCAGATTTGGCACAGGTTTAGTGGAACAAGAGCAGGTAGGTAGGGCTATGCTCCTTGGCATCACTCTTAAGACCACAATAAAACCACTGCCACATTTACAAGACAGTGTAAATATATGTCTTGTCTGTTTATGTCAGTATAGACACACTAATACTATCTTAAGGGGAAGGCTAAATTAAAGTTACTGAATTATTCCAAATTTACTCCATTCAGTTGCTAATAAAAATTCCCAAATCATTTACATGTTGTACTGAAATAAATTCTGGAAACTTGATCTCTCTCCAGGAAAGACTGGTTTGTAGAAAGTCAGTTCAGCTTTTTCTGAATATAAGAAGAGATGCACTTTTCTCCAACAAAAGAAAACTCTTGTTACCTCCTTTAGTCTTTAAAAACAGATCAAGGACCAAAAATAGCTGGGAGAGAGTAACTGAAATTTGGCAAGAAAATAGTCTTTATGTGGCAAGAGTGGAGGCTATATTTTAAAGAAAGATTGTCCAATGCTATAAAGGAATAGTGGCTGCCTTTTTACTCCATGTCTGGCAAGTATGGGTGCACATTGTTTTCTTTCCTTTTAAATAAAAAAAAAGATGTTTTTTTTTCCTCCTAGATGTCCCATGGCCCTGAGTAGAAGCATAACAGCAATTATTGTAATTATGATAGAGTGGGAGGCATAACTTACTAACTATCCAGTCATGTGCTGCATAAGACAAATATTGGCTTGGCCCATTAAAAAAATTGTGTGCCAAAGTTTCCTGACACAAGCCAATGCACTATGTTGAACGAGGGCTCTGGAGAGGCAAGAACACCAGGGATGACTCTGGCCTACCTAGTGACCTAAGTGGGATTATATCGGTATGAATCTGGCCTTACATGAATGTGCAGAGCTTAAGATGAGAGGTCACTTTGTACAGGAGAGGGCATTCTGGTTACATGCTATTTCTCAGATGATAGATCAGGCATTTTCCCTCCCACAATCTTTCATAGACACATAATATCCCATAGCTTTGTACATGACAGCCAAGCAGGGCTCACAAAAACAAGCTTTATGAACAGTGCTTGCTAAACTACATCTTAACAACATACTACAAAAAAGTTTGGCTTCCCAAGCAACAGTAATTGCATATACAACCTTAATTTTGGTGTTTGCCTTGCTTCTCAGTGCTTTAACATGGTACTCATCAAAATAAAAACAAGCATTCAAATAGCACAAATACTTGACAAAAAAAAATCATGATATTACAGAGACTATTACAGAGGTGTAAACAGAAGTTCTGAAATAGTATTTCCATCCTCAGTTTTAACAACCCCCAGACCCAATGGTTTTGAAAGTGTTGTTGTCTGAGTGAGAAAGTTGTTTTCATCTGTCTCCTGGGTAACAAATATCACTTCATAACTCATAAAATACTTAAAACTTTTAAAATTGAGAAGTATTATTAGGTAAAGATACAGCTGAACCCTAAAACAGTCAAATCCCTTTATAAATAATTTGAACTGTTGTTTAAAAAGCATCAAGGTTTATGAGCACAGTTTAGCTTGCTGGAACTGAAACTATCAGTAAATTAAACATGCGGTCCAATTTATTTGACTGATTTGAAGCATTAAGAACTCCAGCAGTGGCAAATATAATTTATTCCTTACAAATATCTAATGTTGTAATTTTTTTGATACTGTTCCATTATTCAGAGAGTGTAGATAAAGGTAGAGAGGCAACTGCATTGAATGGGTCAACTTGTTATTCATGACATATATGCGTGTTCCCATCAAGTTCTGAAGCCCTAGAATTATTACGAGCACCAGGTTTAGACAGAGAATGTGGAAATCCAAATATGTATATTAAAGAGCAATGTGAAAAATATAGAGGCAAAATTTACTTTGGCAGTATTTATGACTTCCCTAACTCCTGCAGTACCTATTTATGACTTCCCTAACTCTTGCAGTACCAGTTGATTTGATGTCTTGGCTGAAGGATGTTTTGTATTAACACTGTAATGTAAAGATTTTATTTTACAAGGTTTGTTATTGGTTTCTATGATGTGGAGGGGGAAGGGAATCACTTCTTAGAGAAACAGAGTGGTTAGGGAGTATGAAAAAGTGTGAAGCATTGCTGGAATCAACAGCAGCATCTTATAGGAGAAGTTATACCTTCTTCCACAGTGCCATTTCTCCACTTAGTAGAGAAAAAGCAGCGGTTTCAGGGTAAAGACCCACAGACCATATCAGACCAAAACTGGTATCCATTTAAATCAATGGCCAAACTCCTGTGGGTTTCAATGGGTTCATCATTGTGTTCAGTGTAACATTCATCGAGATAAGAAATCCTAGAATCATAGAAAATGAGGGTTGCATGGGACTTCAGGAGGTCCTTTAGTCTAACCGCCTGCTCAAAAATCCTATGCTAATATTGCTTTAATTCCCCCCTCTCCCCAAGCAGGCACAGGCAGAAAATAAACACATGCCACTGATGCCAACCCAAGGAGAAACACAAGAATTCAACAGCTTAAGTAACTACCACTGGTTTCAAATGTAAAAGCTTCTCATCATTCTACTCTGTCCCTGTTGTGCCACGGGGGCTAGTTATGACCAGGTACCAAGCAACAAAACTTCTGGCCCTAGAAGTAAAAATGATGGCCATATCATCAATGTTACAGGCCCCAGACAGGGAGGGAGGCACAATGCCAGAAGTTCTTTAAAGTTGTGTTCACGGCCTGACAAAGTACATCAATAAATACATCTCACTCTCCCCTCCCTGCAGGCAGCTCCTCTGGCAAGGAAATAAAGAATCACATCACTGGCTATCCTGCGCTCTGGAAACTAAGTGTAAGGAGCATGATGTTTACTGGCCTGTTGGCATCTAGAAGCACAGAAAACGAGGGTTGGCAGGGACCTCAGGAGGGCATCTAAGTCCAATCCCCTGCTCATTGCAGCACCAGCCCCAACTAGATCATCCCACGTGGGGTCTTAAAAACCTCCAAGGATGGAGAGTCCAAAACCTCACTGGGCAACCTGTTCCAGTGCTTTACTGCCCTCCTAGTGAGAGATGTTTTCTAATACCCAACTTCAACTTCCCTTGCTGCACCTTGCAAACTAGCGCCCCAAACCAGGGTCATCCCCTTCCCCCCTCCCCCCTTCCTTTATGGTGGCCCCTCTAGAGAAGCTGAAGTCCAAGCCTGCAAACTCCCAAGCGCTTCCAAAACTTGCCGGCACGTGCCGGGGTGTTCCCAGGGCTGTGGCCCCTCGCCCCGCTCCCTCGAGGCGGTTGGGCACCGGTTGCTACCTGGGCCCTCTCGGGCACCGCTTTCCCGGAGGAGCAGAGAGGGGCGAAGAGAAAGTTTCGGCTTTCGCAGAGGCAAAAAAAATATTTTCCAGCCCGCGGCTCTCGGTGCCAAACACGTTTCACAAGCCCGTGTGAGCCTCCGCTGGCACCTAATTGCTGCCAGATGTGCAGGGGCAGCAGCAAGAACATCACAAAACGTTGGGGGGGGGGGTTAAAACGACAGAGGAAGGAGGAGAGGGAGCGGGGCAAAAGAGAGGAGAAAGAAAGGGTCGGGACACGCGTGCAGAAATGAGGGGGCTCTACTCCCCTGCGCGGCTCGTTTTCCCCCCGGCTCCGCAGGAGGTGCTGGCCCGGGAGGGAGCGCAGCCCCGGCCCGGCCCGCCCTTACCTTTCATGTTGGCAGCCGGGGGGGGCAGGCGGCGCCTGCGGGGCTAGCAGCGGCTCCGCTCCGCTCCGCTCCTTCACTGGCCTCCCATGGTGGGCCCGGGGGGCGCGGGAGCCTACTGCCTGCAGCCCCGGCCGCGCGAGGGCCCAACCCTGCGTGCGCCGCGCTCTCCTCCGCACCCTCCGGCACCCGGAGCCGCCGGCGCTCCCCCGACCCGCC